TCTGTCTGTGAAGGCATTCAAGGCCAGGCTGGGAGGGGCCCTGGGCAACCTGGTCTAGTGGGTTACAGCCGCATGGCAGGGGGTTGTAACTGGATGGGCTGTAAGGTCCCTCCCAGCCCAAGACATTCTATGATTTTATGATCCCAGATCCTCTGACCCCATGCACTGGCCTTTAAGGAGAGGAGGAAAACAGATTAAAGATGCAATACATGCTTGCTGGGGAACAAGGAAGGGAGAATTAGCAAGAAAATGTTTTGTGTGAGTTTCTGCCCTGCTTTAGGAGGCTTTGCAGCCCTGTGCAGTGAAATCTGTCTCCTGCTTTCCCCACCTGGCACATCTCCCTCATGACTGTGCCAGTGTAAGAATAGGTAGAGCACAAGTAATTAGTTAAAACATCCCCAACTGCTCTGCTTGAGGGGGCTCAGAAAGTGCCCCCAGGTGGGTCTTCCTAAGAGAAAAGCCTTTAGTGTGACACAACACACATTTTGTACAACTGTACAGATAAACTTGAAGCAGGAATCCAGTCTCTATTTTTATATATGCATCAATTTGCACTTCTAAAAACAAGCAGCCTGTCAGCAGCCCATGCTTAAATCCTAGCAGCTCTCTCCATTTACACACAGAGAAGCACCTGAGCCTGTACTTCCTAACTCCAGGAATGCCACCCAAATTTCTGGATCCTCTGTGTGAGGAATATGCGCTGCCCACTTCATGGGGACAACGGATCCTTGCAGACACCCAAATATAATGTACTCTATATCAGTGTAACACACAACAAGGTACCCTGTGCTCCCCGTGGGGTCCTGACCGCCCCGTTAGCCCTGCGAGGGGTCTGCTCTCAGCAGGCAGAGCCCTCCTGGGCCCGGCAGGAGCTGGACAGGGCCCAAGCGCGAGGCGCATCGTCTCCAAGATACAGTGGCTTGGGGCAGCTTGTCCCAGACAAAGAGCATTATGAGGGAACCACTGCTGGAAATTTCCATCCCTTTGTTGGGTGGATGCTGTGTAAATAAATGCATTCCTAAGATTTTTCATAATCCCGGAAAGGCCCGTAAAAGAAGCTCTACAGCCTGTCAAATCGCTAACGTTCATAAATATTATTCCTCCGCCGCTGAGCACACGATGTACAATGGCACAGAACTGAATGCAAGAAACGTATGCCAAAAGCTTTCTAAGGAGAAGTCTGTGTGTTTGGATACTGTGTGTACAGATATTTCTTCTGTTTTGTCCCTGTTACAGCTCGGATTTGTGAATTGCTCGCCTTGGTTCTAAACACTCCTTACCTGACAGGCAATGTTGGCAGCAGCATTTAGCTCCCCGTGCCTGGTGCGATGTGCAGGTGCTTTGAAAACACTTATAAATTAGCATGCTGCTGTAAACGTGTAAGCAACCTCTTAATTCGATTCTCCTGTTTTCCCTTCTGTCTGAATCTTACTGTAAAAACAAACAATTCAGGAAGATCCTCTTACAGCAACAGTGCCTCACTCACTCATCATGTACAAACTGATAGAGAAGGTATTCTGTTCACCCGATGTGCTGGTAGCATAAACACGGGAGTTACTTGCACAGCAGAGAGCAGCAGCGGCAGTCAGCAAAGTGAGATCTTCCCACAATAAGCCAGCAGCTTCTCCCATTAACTCTGCCCTCTCACACTCAGTTAATCTGGATTTCTAAGCTGACTTCTGTGCTTAATGCAGCTCAAATTCTATAAAAATTTAGAATAGAATCTGACTTTCACTTTGCCAACACAACATTTATTGCCTCTCTCCTTCATTTCTGAGCACACTCTGATTTATCTAATGCTTAGGTTTTCCCAACAGCTACACCCGTTTTCTTTAGGATGAAGTTATCAATTTTGGAAATCACATCCCCTACTAAAACAGATCTGCTGGAAAAATACTGAAACAATACAGAAATAATATATATATTTTTTTTCTTCCAGTACTTTTTATTTCTAGATCTCAAATTCCTAGACAATAGAGAACATTTAATATGTAAATCGATAAAACATGAAATGTACGTTTTTAGCGTTTGCCTTCTATTTGCCCAGAATGCACTGTTACTATTTATTTCCTACATATGCTATTTTTCAAGTTGAAAATATATTTAAAAAAATACAATGAAACCAGCCTAGAAGCCAAACCAAAACAACACCCCAGACAGCACGATCTCTGTAAAGTAAACCTGTTTTTGGCCAGCAAAGTCTTTAACACTCATCTGTTTGGACGCTGTCGCAGCATCTCCAGCTCTGCAGTGCTCATCTGATAGGCAAATTTTTAGGATCCTCAATACTCAAATACAACTCGGGGGCTGCTCTGCCTAAGCTTGTCAGTTTCCAGGACGGAGGAGCCTGCCTCAGCCTTTGCTCAAAGAAACATGATTATGGTAATTGTCTCTCTCAAACTGGAACTGACTGTAAAAGCTGATCACTGTATTTTAATATAAAATACTGTTGACCAAGGGCAGCAAACTTTAAAACCAATGAATAATAAACTGCGATCCCAGAGACCAAAGACCAGTAACTTATCTGCTGCGCAAACAACCACACAAATCCCTCACATTTATTTTTTCCAGGCTTTCAACTTTGATTAATAACATGGCAAAAGCACACAAGTCTCAACCATATTAACCACAGCTATATTTTCAGCCCTACTGACACGAACGCTTTAATAAAATAAAAGGAGAAGGAAAACAGAAGAGGTGTTTCATTAGGACATGAGGATTACTAAAACCACTGTGTGGAGCATTTGTCAGGAGGTGGCACGGGAAGAGTTATTACTTACATTTTAGCGTGTCTCTAGGACGCAGAGCCAGAGGCTCCCTCGGTGAGATATGTTTGCTTTGGAAAAATATGAAGTAATCAGGCTGCCTGAGCTCTTCTAGCTGACACGTTTTTAATACCAAAATGCAAACCCAGCTAAGAAGTTTGCAGGAAGCACTACAGAGAAAACTGTTTTTTCCAGTTTGGTTAGGAAGCCCAGCAACACTGAAGTGGTGTGAGGATCAGAAGTTCTCAGATTAACCTGCCAGTTCTTTTTACAAACAGATACAAAGCATACATATATGAAGCATGGTTAAAATAATATACCAAGATGCAAACCCCCACAAATCTGTACTTGTGTCTGCTTACAGAAGCTTACAACCTAAATGAAAAGCATTTATTAAAACACACCAAAAAATGGCTGATGTGATCAGGAAACCAATGTCGTGCCAATAAAATTGCAGCTACGAAACAAATCCAAAGAATAATGCTTGCTAATGCAGAGTGCTTGCATTTTAACATCTGTAGCTTCATTGTTGTGTGAGACTGGGACTGTAGTTACATCTCTCCCAGTCTCCTCACTGGCTGTACAAACGACAGGGGTATTCCATAGATGAGTTTCTAAATTCGGTGAATTAAAAGCATTTTACTAGCAGTAAAAAATAAATAATATCGGGGTGAACATGTCATTTGACTTTTTCATCCTGCATCTACCTGCCCACACTCTTGCTCTAGCAGCACATTTATAATGATGCCTTTGCCAACAGACCCAAGCTTTTAAAATCAAGATAACGTGCAATGCTGGTCACAGATTTTCTACTTCTAAACCACTAACAGGAAGACAGTCACCCTCCAAAATAGGGGAAGTAGAACAAAGAGATCCAGGCATGTAATACAGTAACAGTGACCCTGAAATAACTGCTCAGGATGGCACCCAAATATGATAGTAAAGGACACCTCGGCACCGCAGACGGGATGCGGCAGCTTCGCAAAGAGAAGGGCAGACCAATAACAAATACCTTGTCATACTTTCATCCTGAGATGAAAGCATCGTTTCTGCTTTGACCTTTCTTAGAATCTGTAACACACAACACCTGGGGCAGCCGAGATACAAGGGAACAGGGAAGGGGCACGCTGCAGCTTATTCCTACCCACCAGCAAGCGACAAAACACACAGAAAATCTCTAAGCTGCACCAGAGAAAGCGAGAATCTATGCACAGCCCTACATGTGAGCTTCATTAACAAAGATATTTTTTCCCACTCGAATTGCACACATGCAAGTGTAAACCATTTCTGCACGCCCCCACTACCCGCTCTGACATCGGGATTTTGGCTGTCCCGGGCTTGGCTGTCACTAAGACAAACATATTTCACCACAACTTTTTTCATTCAAAAAGAGGCAAACTGGATTATAGCAAATAACCTTTAAGATAATTAACTGACAATGCTGCAACTAGCATAAAATCTTCCTTCAGGCGACCCCTAATTTAAGTATTACTGGCACAAAGTGGAGACAGATTGCGCATCACCACCGCAATATTTACATAGCAGAAACCCACAGAGCAGGAAACGTGAGACTCAATGATGCACTAAATTAGGAACAATCATATTCTAGTGTTAATTTGCTTTCCACTCTATCCAAATTTCAGGTCCAGCAATCGGTGTAAATGCACATAAAACATTCCCATTTTTAATGATTAAGAACCACAATCCGCAAGCAGCTCTGCTCAGAAGTAAATCTACTCACTGCTAGGGACGTTTGCAGGATCAACCCCCCCAAAAGCGAGGCAGTTTTAGCAGCACAGAGATTTTCTGAAAACTGAATCTTCCTCAGCTGTTTACCCCTTTCCATCAATTATGCCTGCACAAGCTGTTGGAGTCTTCTGCCCATCTACCTGCCTTTTGCTGGCAAATATTTTCTTTTGGTGGTGCGACTCAGAAGCAGCTTTAATTCACCGATTCTGCAGAGATATATGCGTGTACTCAGAAGGCTCTGTGCTCAAAAAATTAAGGTTAAAACGGGGAGAGAAAAAGACAGCCAGGTTATTTGTAAACACACTGGTGCCACATTTATGATAAATACACACTCTACAGACTCGATGCAGATACAGATTTTAAAAGCGTGACTCTCTATGCAGCATGCTTTGTAAGACAAACGCAAACAGCCACCACCACCATCTCTCTAAATTTTAAACATTGTTTAAATTCACTTTCCACAACATCATATAACAAAATATTTACCTTTCCTAAACGCTGATGTTCTTCAAAAGCAGAAATCAGTTCTTGCGCCCACTTTATTTTTTCAGGGCTGGGAGAGAACTGTTCCTGGACAACAGCAATTTGGTTAGGGTGAATCACCTGCTTACCTACAAAGAAGATTAATAACACCAGAATCATGCATCGACAAACAGATGTTCAAGCAAAATGTTCCAACCACTTGAGGCTCTCCTATGCCTTGCAGACTTTCTGCTCCTGAACTAATTATTTTACTTGTTTTCTTTTATTATTTAACTGGACTACGTGCCAGATTTTTTAACAATAAAAATATCTGGCGCAATACTTGCATTTAGTATGTTTGAAGGGACCCAGAATTCTTTCTCCTCCCTCCTCATTTCAGTCCATACATCTTCCATGGTTCATCTCAGGTGGAACTGTTGGTCTGGGGAAGTCAGCAGTGCTAGAGCACAATGCAACTCTGAATTTTACCTTTATAAATGGCACTGCCAGTCACTCGTAAATAAATTGCATTAAAGTGTGTTCAGAAAATGAGGTTTATCGAACTGAAAAGTTTCTGGCCATGCAGAGATCGTTCCCTCAGTTCTTAGCACTGGCTCTGCATCACGCGATGCTCAGGGCTGCTTATGTTTTTGTTGTGGTTCACAGGTGCAGGTAGGCTGGGGCATTTGTTTAGCCACCGGTATATTAAACTGCTGCCAGAGGTACCCTGAAGTGTTACGAAGAACTTTTTATTAATCCTTTCTTGTATGAACATACAGTAGGAAAATAAAAATAGGTGTAGCCTTCTTTTTTTTTTTTTTCCTACCAGAGATTTTCCAATGCGAATAGACAGCCACATAATCCGTTCTAATCTGTTATTGTACTTAGCCACATTAAAACAAATACATATCTAATTTGTTTGACAGTTTTCAAAGTGTGGCACTCGACGTTATTAGCCCGTTTCTAAGGGAATTTCACAGGCAACGTGATGGCTGCACGATCCCCTGCGCCGTGCCGTGGGAGCGCTTCAATAAAGCGGGGCTACTGCAGCCTCAAGCCTCGCCGTGACACAAATTAATCCCTCTATGCCACACGGCAGAGCGGGTTGCAGCCACGAGCCCCATCCCCAAGCCTTTCACGCCTCCCAGCCCTACAGCGGGGCACCTCAGGCTAGGCTGAGGGCTTGGGGCCGCTGCCGTGCCCCATGTTGGGCCCACGCCTCCTGCAGCCCTCGTGCGGTGCTCAGGGACCCCTGGGGTCCTCAGGAAGCTCTGGGGTGCGGCTCTGGGGTGACACTGGCACTGTGGGCAGCTGCCCACGGCATGCGGCCCGGCCTGGGGAAGAAACGCGACCCTTCCACTGGGCTCCAGGATGTGAAGCTAGAAATAAGCTCATCGCTACATGCAATAGATCCCGTACCACAGCACACGCGTGCCACTCTTTTAAACAACAGAGTGGAGAAAAGATTCCCATCACCGGGATTCCTTGTGTCAGCCTGCAATGGCTCTCTGATAAATGTGTGCCATGAAAGGACTGTGAGTGCTTTCTTTTGATAGAAAGCAATTGTAACTCTTCAGAGTTGCCGCGTTTCTTCAAAATCCACAAGTCGTTCGATTTTATTTTAGTTCCCATTAAACAGTTGCTGGTGTAAGATCTCGAGGGCGGCCAGATACTCTGTCTCAAATCTTAATATTGCATATATTTCACAATAATCTGATATTTTTTTTTTTAAAGAAAGAAATTATAGGCAGACAAATTCCCTGAGCTAATGCTTTACATTCTTTCTAACGAAATGTATTTTAGTTGCTTTAATTAAATGTCACTACTGATAAGCTCATGGTGTTCCTTATTTTTAACATGATGCATTCTAAACTAATTCTAAAGAGGGAGAGTGGACAAGTAGTTCCTGCAAAATGCTGAAAACCTAACTTTCTGGAAGAAATAAAGAACAGATTTTAATTTGTGTTTAAAATCACAACAAAAATAAAAACACAGGTACGATTTTTTAAGGTGTGAAATGTTTCTGTGAAATGATTTTCTTCTGATACAAATATCCATAGCAGGAAGCTGTACTTTGCTTCATTAAAACATTATCAAACAATTTACAGAGAAGAAAATCGAGCCTTTGATTTATAGCACTCAGTGGATTTTTGTCACAGAATTATGTATCCAAATAACTGCATAATAGACGTAATGCCATGCAGGAATGAAGCAAATATTTTAAGTGGAATTGTTGTTATTGACAAGTTACCGAGAGAGTGCAAAATTGGAATACATTAAAATTTATGACCATGAAATCCTTTTTACAGTACCTCTTGATATATCGTGCTTTAAATCAATACCTGTCAAGTCTTTTAGGTAACTGTATGATGGTGTCGTTTTAGCCTTCTACAAAAGGCTACAAAAAGAGAGGAAACCTATAGTGTTTCGTATTTGTATCTGGCTTCTCAGCATGGAGCACAGGACTTTCTATAATGACTAAGTCGGCTGTTAAAGCTTGTCGTAGGTCTTCCTTAATTTTTTACATAAACTTTCCTAAAACTGATGACCATTTACTTGGGCTGCACGCTGGCTTTAAGTCCACAGACTCCGGCATTGTAAAACATCCTGTTGTATGTGCATGTGCGTGTGTATATTAATAAATACACAAAAGATATATTACACTGGCTAAACTACAATTGAAAGCAATCAATTTTATGGAAACACAGTAGCCGACGAAAAACCAGGCTGTTTGAAAGCTAGCTGGAAAAAAACTTGGCACTGAGGGTCACAGCAGTAACCAAATAGACGGTAAATTCTTCGCTATATTATTTAACTTGTTAAATTGTCAGTGAACACGCGTGATTACTTAAGGGATAATTCTGTTCTACTGGTTTCTGAATACAAGAAAATGCAAGGACGTGTAACTTTGCTGAATACATGGAGTTTATGATTGTGTTTGAGAGAGGTGAATGTGGCCCTACGCGTTTTGCCAGTTACCAGGTAATTGGTGAGCTTTCCCTCATTTTAGTCCTGTTGATTCCAGTGATTTAGATTACATGTGAAAAAGTAGAAAGATGTGATCGCAAGTAGTTAGAAATAACAAGAATGATGTGTTTAGAACTTGTTATGAAGGCAGTGCTTCGGGATTTTATTATCGCATTATCCGACAACTGCCAGTGACAAATGTGATGTATTTTATAGAAGGTCATGGATTAAGCTAGGGCCCATTTGTAAATTTCTGTGATGAAAATTAAATTGCAAATATTAAAATGTTTTTATTTTTATAGTTTTTGAACCAAATGTTTTTCCTTTTAGTTTGGAAGTGACATTTTAATTTAGCTAAACTACGCAAAAAACAAAGATTAAGTGAACTGCAAGCAAAAGAAAGAAAAAAGACAAGGGAAATATTTTTGATAGCCCTCAAATATTTTTTCTTTACCAAAAATTAAAAAAAATCTGTTTTGTTTTGAACAATTTTTTTTTCTTTAAGAATTTTGGCCACAAAATCTGAATACTGACCCATCTCTGTTTATGATGGGAGTGTTTGTCAGGCTGCTTGCTGCCCTTCTGAGATATGGTGATCAGAACTGCAGAGAGGCAGAAGGCAAAGAGCTGTGAGTTTCTGTTGGTGAAGCTGGTACCTTACACACAGCTTTATTCTTTATGGGTGCGTTAGATGCCAACTTGATGCTCTAAATTGCCACGTATGACCTTTTTATTTTTCTCCTATCTGGACCCTATTCTCATGCTAGAAAGCTTCCTACAGAAAGTCAGAGGAGTCCAAAACCCCATCAGTGCTGTTTATGCTTTACGATTTAAAATTTTCCAAACTGGCAGCCTGAGCAAAGTATTTAAAAGCACATTAAACGTTCAGAAAGATTGCTCTCAAAGGTGCTGGGCATCTGCAGCTCCATCTTCCGTCAACAGGAGGTTCAGATACTTAAATTTTTCAAAAATCAAGCCCTTCCCTAAACTAGAAAAGATTGGTCTCGATTACGTAGCCATCAGCAGGTGCTACCATTCAGGAGCTCCATTATTTTCCCACTTCAATAGCGGACGAATTGAGGGTGGAAGTCCACACGGACACAGATAATGTTGTGTAGCTGTGAGGAGCTCCTGCTCTGCCTCTGAAACGAGATGTGCTTTTACAACTGCTGAAGCTCAGCAGACGGGGAAGCAGAGTTTGGGCTGAAGGGAATCAATGTCTTTTTTTTTTTTTACTATCGAGTCCAGATCACTTGAAAGAACACTTTTAAAAGGACGCTCGCTGCATTTGGTTACTTTGCTTAGTGCTTTAAGATGTCATATGCCATTAACTGTAAAAATGCAGTGTGCTAAAGCACTTCCTTTGCTAACAAAACCCGAGCAGCTAAACGATTGCTATGCATACACCCTGAATGACAGTCACAGACGAATAATATAAAACGTCAGTGCTGAATCCTAGAATTCTATAACGCCTGTGTCAAATGGCTGATTTCTATTGCAAAAACACAATCTTTGGTGGCTGCACTGTCCCACCAGGGTGTCCAAGTGATCTGGTACACCAATCACAGGGTAACAGGCTGCATTACAGGGCTCTGTTGCAAGGAGCCTGCTGGTCTTGCTGTCTGCCAATACCCGTAGGTGTCACCAGCACTTACTGGGAGGGGAGCCAGGAGATGAAAAAAACAAATCAAAGAAAATAATAAAAAAAGAACTTTCCTGTAGCAATTAGCGTGCAGGGTTTGCTTATCAATTCCCTCACCTAGCAAGTGCTTTTTAAGCAACTGCTGCTTAAAAAATATGCAGAAGGGATCTGAATATCTTTAAAAAGTGACTGTGGATTGAGCATTGCAAAGTACAGTATCGCTTGTCCCGTACTCTGTGACTGGAGGAATCACATCCTGCACACCCTCTGCCCCAACCTCTCTTCAAAATACAGTCATATGCTCCAAGGGGTGTAGTTTTAAAAAGCAGCCTGAGACTTTTCAGGCAAAATTTCCAGGCAAAATTGTAAAGGTGCTAATAAATGCATATGAGCTTGGTGTCACTTAGTTTTTAAAAAACTGACCTGTCAAAGTAATGTGAATTACTTTGTCAAATATTTGTCAAAGAAATGTAGCAATATCTTGAAATTGAAGAATATAGGCATTATTTTCAGACATTGGCAGAAACCCATACCAGTGAAGCCCATCGAGGCACCTTCCTTTGATTGCCTACGGAGCCCATCTTCATCTCGGAAATCAATGTAAACCAGGTCTATTGCTTGGAGGCCAAATGCCTTTGCTGTGACTATTATTTTCTGCCTGGCATATAAAATATCGTGAGTTTCCTTATTGCTTGTTGCACCTATGAAAAGAAAGAAAACAAAGAAAAGATGACAATGCCTTAAATCTTTCTCTCTTGAATCTTTTGTAAGAAAAAAAAAAAAAAAAGAAAGAAAGAAAGAAAAGAAAATCTGAGATTTCATTTAACTGATTTGGGAAACAAAGGTGGATCGCAAGGCTGTACTGTAAAACCGATACTCCCAGGGAAAAAATAAGCTGCTTTAGCAAAAGGAATAAATCTCTCTTTATAGAGTCGCTTGTAGAATTCAGATTTTGACTCAGTTCGAATCTGAAGTTGTAAGCATGAAGTCGATGGAAGTTTTGGCTGGTAAGGACAACTGAGTTGGGACTAACGTGCAGTAATGGCCTTATTGTATTACTATATGTGCAGCAAGAAGCACTAAAGCAAGGGAAGCTTTCTGCAGTGTGACCCGCCGGCTACAACTAAATGGTTAAAAAATTCACACTGAGAGCAGAATTGCACTTTCCTTGGTTGTGATTCCTGTCACAACGGATGTCCTAAGCTGAATATTTAAGCTTTAGTATTTGGATGAAAAATGATGGTAGATGACCGAGAGGAACCAAAAGTATTCACAAGACACGGTGCACCAGCTAAGCAGCATTCTCATGTGAAGGCTGATGCAAAAAAATAATAATACGTTCCTTTCCTGAGGGTCACTGTTTAGATGCAGATTTCCAATTTGTTAGGAATAATTTAATGAATCAAGGCTAATTTTTATATTAAAATTTATTTTTAATTTAAACGTCTGCAGCTGTGAACTAATATCTTTAAACCGAATCAGACTAATGAGGAGACAAGTGGCTTCTCATAAAAAAAAATCAGAACAACTTTTCATTTTCAAGGAAGATTAATAGTGTTTTTACAGGAAAATATGCTAGGGATTACTGTATTGACACAGGGCATATTTAAAGCAAATTTATTACAGCAAAATATGACACGAGAGTATTTGCAGATGATGTCAAAATCCCAAGTGATAACTGACTCTAGATCAGAGATAAAGCAGACAGCAGAATTTTAAGATTTTTAACATAGTTCTTAAAAGCATGTGCATGTTTCTTATGGGTATGGTATTTTTAAATAATGTCAGTGACTCAACAGTTTGCCTTGACTTTTTATTTTGTTAATTTTTGCTACTGCATGGCAGAAAGCAAGAGGAAGTGTCAGTGCCCTGTAATACACAGGAACCACATTTTAATTTCTCAGTGATACATTCCGCATTGAAAAAAAAAAAAAATAAAAATGGAGAAAAGGGAATATGTAAAATGCAGAATCAAGAGTTTTTATTACATTAATTATCGCTGTCAGTAATGCAATGGAGATAAACTGGGTTTCTCCATTGCAAATGCCATTAACTATTATAGAAAAGAAACACGTAACAACCTATGCTGGCACGGAAATCCTCTCCTCCAAAGACGACTGCATCCAAATGAAAGCCAACCTGGGATCCTGTTCTCAATGCTTCTTCACAGACAGCCTACAAATGGGAGCATGTTGTTAATTTGTATAGAAATGCAGGAAGCAGAGAGACTAAGAGGATGTTACATCAACTCAGTATTACCAAAACCTGGTGATCCTTTGGTTAAAATTTCTCCTGCTAAGTAAAACCATTGTAGGTACTCAAGTGTGCACAATGCTTTAAAATGACTCAGCAGAATAGAAAACATTATCTTGCCCTGAGCACCTATATGCCTCCAGTGTGGAGATGCAGGACATCACAACAGCTTCATTGCCTCTTAGCCGGAGCTTACCATAATGCCCTTGCAATTGCTGCCCCGGATATTCAGGTAGCAATAAGGAACAAAACACCCCTCAAAAACTGCTTAAAAGCAAACAAAAATTATTATGTTTAATCAGTTTAACATGTAGCAGCACTGCCCGAGAAAGATTGGGATACTGGTTATAAAATTAACAATTTCAATGGTTTAAAATGGTTGTGGATTCCTTTTCGGATAAATTGTCAATTTAAAAGCTTCTGCTACATCAAACTAAAAAGTAGCTAAGGAAGTTAAAAATGCAACAAGTATCACAGAAAAGTATTAAAGTGAAAGCAAGCAGAATTTTGTTACCGTACCTATATATAAAGAAGTGCATTTCCAGTCTGTTACTGTTTTATATTGACCTCTGTAATATTAATTTGTTAAGGATTAGGTATGCGGAGAGGGAGAGAAGTAATTACAAACTCTGCTAGTGGGTGTTCTTACATGGCCGCTGGTGGGACACAAAATTATTATTAAGCCGAATGCTTTAAAAGGCAACTCTGCTGCCAACATCAAGGGCCGCAGCATCAACCGCCCCCCCCATAAAATACTGCAGTCGAATAAAAACCAGTTGCAAATGCAAGTTCTGTGCCCGTGTCCTGAAACGGGAGCACGCTGCCTGGCGATGTTATGACGTGCAGGGAGGTACGTGGCTGCGCCAGGCGGAGGCTGCCGGCAGCTCCCGAGCTGCTCCTGCCCTGCGTGCCCTCAGCTGGCCCCAAGCCTTCCCCATCCACTTTGGGGGAGCCCCACGAGTGCCTCCTCCTCGTGCTGCCTCTCCTTGCTGAAAACCTGCGCTGGATGTGAGAGGTGGTGGGGAGGGACCTATATTACAAAGCACTTTAAATGTAAGGCTTGGTTGAAACCACCCTTCAGATATTTGATATTTTTAAAGTTAATTGCACTTTTAATCTTAGCATTAAACTCCCTGTTGTACGCATGAAACAAAAAAACAACTGCAACGTGAAATCTGGCTGAAACTGTGTCAGTAGAAAATTATACCGCTTTAGCAGCAATGAAATGAGGATTGTTCTTTTTTCTAATTAAATGCTATATCAAAGTCAAGCTCGACAGCTACTAAATAGTCGTTTATCGCAGCAGCGTGTGTGCTCCAGATCCTCAGAGAAGCAAGTTTCCTGTTAGAAACGCGGGTAGGAAATGCAGATGGGTTTCCTCAGTTGGCAAGGAGTATGTAGAGCTGTTCCTCCACCAAAATATTTTGGATTTATGAAGGCCTTTGCCGTATAAACACGACAGTTAGGCATCCAAATGTCTTAGCGGACTGAAAAACGTTTACCATTTTTTAGCCTCTCTTCCTTGAGGAAAATCATGCCGGGACAACAGAGCTCTCTGCTTATCCTGGTGGCTGAGAGGGCAAAATACCAACGCTTGGACCGCACCCAAACCTACTTACCTTAAAATTGAGCAACCCCACCGCGGTTTCTACAAATGGGATAAAATGCATTGGTTCTGCAAGTGTTCGGCCTTTCGAGTGATGTGCGAATTTGTCTGCAAACTAAAACCAGACAACGTGAGGCTTCGGCGAAAAAAGCACGCGCGGGCACGTGCAGCACTTTACATCTTTCACCTGGCTGCAACGCCGGCGCACAAAAAGCCCCAAAACTCAGAAGACGTAATTAAAAATTGCAGAGAGCGTTGGGGAAGGTCTGTGCCGAGGCGTGGGCTTTGCACCTCGTGTCCTAGGGCGTGCTGGTGGGGCACAGCCTGCCCCAGTCATGGGGCACACACAGTGCTGCCCTGCCTGCCTCGGGTCGGGCACCGCACCGCCGCTGAGGCATCTGCATGGCTCGTTACGGCACCGCTGCCCTTTGTTCGCCGGGCTTTTCTTCATAATTTTTAGCTTACCTAGGAAGGCCTCAAAAAGGAAGTTTAATTCTTTGAAGACCAAAGCTTTCCAATTTTTTCCATGAGACCAGTTCACAGCTAGCTCTGAGCTGCCAGTGGGGTAGCCCAAATTCCAAAATCTATCATCTGGAAACATACAAAAGCTCTAGCACAGATTTTTCCCTTTTCAAAAGGGGGAAAAAAAAGGGGGGAAAAGAAACCCTCGGTCCTATATTGTAAATCTATTATGTCGGTCTAGATCTGGCTGTTTGCGCGGAGATAAACATACTGCAGGTATGGCAAAAATATCGTAATAAATAAAGACAAAAATAACATATGCATATATTTTAAATTTAAGGAATATTCGACTATTAATGGATATCAAAGGAAAGGGAATTTTAATCATCTCTCCATTCAGTCTCAGTTGGGTAAATCATATCTAAGAGATTTGCATAAATATAAACCATCAAAGACTTTTCATCTTCAAAGGGGGTTTCAAGACCCTATAAGCTTTGTACTGTAATCATCGCAGGTCACAACCCTGCAGGAATAAGGCTGCTATGGCAACATAAAAAACTAATGCTTAAGGCTTAGCATAATATTCTGACTAATAGAAAGGAAACTCATTTTAAAAGCTGGCAGCCTATTTACCAGAAGCTGGATTAGAGGTGTTATTTCCCCTTTTAGCTTCCCCCCACTGCCCCTCCCCAAAAGAAGGAAAATCTAATCACCGAGATCTTTAAAAAGCTTTCGAGCAATTTGCAGTAACTTTACAATTAGGCCAAAATAAATCACAGCTTTCTCTGACAAAGAATTCTGCCCTTCCCGTCCCTGCTTTGCATCACCAGCGGGGCCCTCTCCGCAACTTTTCCTTGGAGAAGGGACTTCCACCAAAAATGTGCCAGCAAGAAAACGCGAGTGCAATTCACACGTGCAAGCGTACGACTGGGCAGGTACTGTGGCAGCACAACATGCAAACTCTGTGCAGGCAAGCACAGAAAATGAGGTAATCAAACCGCATCAGCGTATGCTCTTAAGGCTCCCAGCCATAGAAAAAAAAAAAAAGGAAAAAGTGCTACTGAGTTTAAATTTCAGGTGCAAGTTAAAGATGCGGAACTCTTAAAATATTTTAAAAGTCACTCTCCGGGATTTTTGACAGCTTGTGGTTTGTTGGCAGGTAAATGAAAAATGAAGAAGGTTTAATTAAATGGCGTCTCCCTTCCTCTCCCTTTAAAAAATTTGCAATAAGCACGGCTACAAAAGGTAACTAGTGGAGAAGTTTCAATTAATTTTTTTCAAAAGGAGACGATTAAATGTTTCCGGCCTGGTAAAGTGTTCATTTCAGGGAGAAGGGGGGAAAGGAGAAGGCGGAGGGAAGAAAACAAAGCTCGGGGAGGGGATGAAGTAGCAGGCCCCCGCAATTCTTTCAGTTCCCGTGCACACCCAATAGTGTGTTGGAAAGAATGCACACTGTTCGGGATTTGTGGGAGAATTGTCCCGCCACAAAGGAGGGAGAGTTACGCTTGTTATAGTCCAATAAGCCATGCCAGTCAAACAAGTACCCACACTAGGGACAAAAGGAGAGCAAGAGATTCTCACACAAAAGAAAACAAGTAAGCCCATCTTTTAGTTGTGCATCAGCCTCCAGGTTTTATGCTCCGCATAAATAAAAATGAGGGGGGAAAAATAAACAGCTTCTCTTAGGCTGGGAGCCTGGAAAAGAAGCGGGCAGGAGCGAAGCCGCAGGATCTCTGAAACGCGCCGGTGTCATTCAGCAGAGCACGCTCTTTGTGCTCCTGGGCTCGGCCGTGTGCGAGCCGGTGGCCACGGCAGCAGGCCCGAGGAGAGGTGGAAGGGATGGGTGGGGAGTGGGGGGACCTGGGCCTCACCCCTGCCCAGAGCCTGCCTCGTGGCCACGAAGACCCGCCATTTTGGCAGCACGAATGTTCACGTGTGATGAGCAATGCCCGGAGCTCACAGGGCTGCTCGAGGCACACAGCCTCTGTTGCGGCAAACAAATGTTGTGGCCCATTGGCTGCTGTTTGGGGCTGGGCGTGGGATGGATGCGCTTGCTCAGGGTGCCCTTGTGTGTCTTCGGCAGCTTGTGATGGAGGCTCAGTGTCAGGACGACAGTTGGCACGAGGGCATCTCCCAGCTTCCCAGTGCAGCCAGCCTGCTGGCTCCGCCACAACGCCAGCCCGACGCATGGAACGGCTGCTCCTGCACTGGCACCGTGCAGCAGTCACGGCTTACCCAAACAAATGTCCCCCTTCTTGACAATTAAAACAATTATAGCGTAATTAGGCCTATTTCAAAGTTTTCTTAAGTAATCTGACATACCAGCCATTTACATTTCAGGTTTTTATTGGCTGAAAAGTCAGTCATGAAACACAAACACACCTGTCAGCAATTAAAAAGGAAGAAATAGAGAACTGCTCAGGAAATAATATCTGTGCTAATTAAAAACAGTAGTTAAAAGCTTCCTGTTTGTTCCTCCATTTGCCCCCAGGAGTGACCTTCCCCCCCCCGGCGTACTTTTCACATGTTGCTAGCATGCTTTCCTCTGCTCCCTCTTACAGCGCATGCAACTATGGCACATGGCCACAGACAAGCATTTCAGTGGCAGAATATTTAAATGAGAGTCAGATACCAATGCAGCTACTTTTCAAAATATGCTCTAACTCTTCACTGACTATAGGAGAAATAAATCTAGTATTCTTTACAAAGGCTATGCACTCCACATATGCTTTTCATGTAGCACATTGTACACACATTTAAACAGAAGCACTTCCCAATTACCTTACTCAAGCAGCAACAGGACATGGCACTCATGACACATCAGAGTCCCTTACCTCTGCACCTGGCTTAACTTGACCCAGCAGCTTCAGTCAAAAACCACCACATTGTTGGTACATGGTTAGCTACTCACCCATTTAACTTCTTCCACACTTTCAACCTTTGGCAGCATCAGACTTGAAGGAAGAGTCTTGGACTGCAAAAGCACCTCTAGATCTTCCTCTGCAAGGCCACTGGACACGGAGTTTATCCTCACACACTTCTCAGCACGGCCAATGTCAAACTCTTCAAGCGTTTTCACAACTGTCAGCCTTGCTTCTCTCTACAATATATATATACACATACACATACATTCGAAGCCACAGAGAAAGAGAAAAAGAAAGCTTATTTTCTACTGACATTTTTATAAGCTGAACAGAAAACTCACAGAAACGACATGGGGAAAAAGCTAGGCAGCCAGTGTATTTTTGTCCCCAACAAGTCTGTCACTCCTGGTTCTTTGTCAAAGCAGTCATCAGCAGCACCTTGCAGTTCTGCAATTTTCAGTTCTTTGTAACCAGCAAATAAAAGATCAGTTCATGCCTAAATATTTTTCAACAGCCACTTATGGAAAACATCCATCTCTATTATAATTACTAAATACATCTAACAAATGTGAATCTGTCTACTAACTATAATATATTATGCTAAGTCTATGCTCACAACAGCGGAGCATTAATACCTTTGCTTAAAACAATTCATTTTTGTAATCCATCTCCATATTGCCTGTGCTCAGATATCAGTATCAGTAAGTATAGATGTACATCTCTTTCTTTGGTTCTGCTATGTGAATCTTCTTTTTCTCCATGTATAAAAGGTGTATTAAGGCTCATAGCAGAGTTCCGAACTTGCCTTTGAAAACAATGCCACAACAATGATTCATAGGTTTTCATGAACCATGTAAAAAGATACTCTCCTGCTGGCACTAAATAAAATGTCCAAATACATTTGCTTCTTGTAGCCACTCGCTATTTTTTGTGAATGTAAATTTATAAACTTGCTGAATATTTGATATACATGAAGAATACTTGGGTGTTTTTCTGAAATGCAGTGCTTTTATTGGCCTCAAGAAGAGGAGTGGCAGTGGCAGAAGAGCACCGTTGGTCTCCCTCACTTTCTGCCCATTTCAGATTCGGCAACAAATTCCTCCTACTTGCCAACAGGCCCTAACAAATCCTCATTGTCAAAATGAAGGTTTATCAAAAGTAATTTCATTTTTGAAGAGCTTTTGTGGTCCTCATAAAACTTTAAAGCTGCTGACTTGCAAATGTAAAGAAACAACTATAACACTATGCAGTTGCTGGAGAGATACTTTGCAAGAAAACAGGCAAACTTGGAGGAGAAAAAAATCATCAAAGCTAACATTCAGGCTAATACCAATCAGTGAGATGGGACACAGTAGTAGAGTTAAACCAGACGGCTGCAACTCTGTGCCTTTGCAGGGGCCTTAATTGGAGACACAGGGCACACCAGTATGCATCTTTGTACAGGGTCACTCTCAGAGGTAGTCTCTGTAAAATCCAGCCCAAAAGCAGTCATGAGTGGGCTCAGGAAATCTGTGCAAAGATGCAGGGAGTTCCCTGCAGCCAAGGCCAGTTTGCCTGAATGTTATGAAGCAGGCTGCAGATGCTGCCCAGCACTCACCCACCTCCCTGTCCTTCTCAAGGCGGGGTGGCTGGTGCCTATGTTTGGCCAAAGGTTTCTGGACGTGATGCAGAGCGGTATCTGAAATGCATTCTCCAAAACAATTTATGCTTTTAATTAAAGCCAGATTATCACCGTCTCAGCACACACTGATCCAATTTGCAAAATAAAGCTCTCCCAAAATTATCCACTAAGGCAGCATCCAATTCCAACTGAAGGCACATCTCTCGAAAACTTGTAGTCTAATTCATTACAATTTTTTCAGATTATAATAATGAGCAGTAGAGCATCTCATTAGCTATTTTTCTCCTCAGGCTGCAAACTCCCTTCCCAAAAAAGACAGATCGTGTCTTTCTAGGTATATTTCCATACAAAACACTTATTAACAGGCTGTTGCTGTTATCAATTTACATAAACTAAATGTGCAGCCCTCTGGTACATATCCCAAAAATAACTAACAACTTCACTGAATTTATACCAACCAACAAACATGGGGAGGGGGTTGTTGTTTTTTCCCATATTTTAATAGAAAATATGTTGCTATGTTAACACACCCATGCCATCTGTTGGGCTGAGAATCAATGCAGTTTCTTATAGCCACTACATTTTAGATCTGTCTGCCTAGATACCCCAGGAACAGAAACATCTCCCTTCCATGATAAACCTCTAGTCACTGTAATTTCTGAATCAGGAACAGGCATTTTTATTCATGGGACAGGCAGATGGACCTGGTACTCCAAGTCAGAGACCTCTTGAGGGGACTGACCCTGCGCCTGCCCTTCCTACAATAGGGAAAATCCCACTGATGTTAGTGGCCCTGCTTGGGATTCCAGGAAAAAAACATCATGGTTGAATTATAAAATCTACCAAAATCTCTCGGCAGCATGAACTAAAAGCATGGAGGAAAAGGAGATCACCTTCTGCCTCATTATGCAGTGAAATGTAAATACAATTCTAATATGCAGACAAAAGCTGAGATTTTAAGCTAGTTGATCTACTTCAATGATGTTATAGTAGAGAAAAAAAGTACTTAATACAACGTTTTTGTAGCAATAGATGCAAGAATAAATGCATTTTCCAAAGTAAAGTCCTCGTCAAGACTGGTCAAGCTAGAGTGTATCAACAACAGTGGAAGAAATTATTTATCTATTCTTCACCTTACAGCATTGGACAACTCTCTGTCCTGAACAGGTAAAGAAAAAACTTGGCCGTGAAACAAAGGGGTCCACTCTGGGACTGTGGTACTCCATTAGGACCCGTAGGTTGAGTTCTTATCAAAGTGATCAAGGAAGGATGACAATCGAGAGAGTCTGTAGTAAACAGTGATATTAAATTACACTAATATTATTATATATTATATGCTGATATATCCTAAACTGGCTACTTGTGCTGGAAAACTTTTTGAGAAAAAATGTTGGTCAAGGTGACTGTAGCTCCTTTTGTGTCTCTTCTGTCTGACTCAGAGGGGGACGAGGGGAGATTTCCATTCCTGCATGCAGCTACGCCAACTGGGGAGGATAAAGCCTTTGGTGATGCTGCATCGCAGATGAATCAACTGCCAACAGGACACGCAGACACCGAAATTAAAGACGGGAATACGCAAGTAGCCGTCTCAATTGGCACCCATTAAAGCTAATCACTACCCATCCTCACGAGTTGCTAGCTCTGAATTATCAAATCTGCAAAGAAAACAACATCCGTCCACTTTTACACTCCAGTGGAAGAGGTGGTCCCTCGCGGCAGGGCTGCGCAGTCTCGCCATCTGGAGAATAAATCGAGTGTGAAGTACAGTATAGTTTGGGACCAAGCTCCGTGGCGGCAGCCCAGCAGCGAGTTCATTAGTTCTAAACTTGCAGGGATTAGTGCGGTGTCGGGGCAACTGTCGGGTGGGATCAGGCAGGCAGAGCACGAGACTCAGGGAGGGAGGTGGTGGCAGGGAAGGAGCCCCTGGGCTTGCTAATGGAACCAAGTACAAGCACACCTAAATGGGTGCCCTAAGTTACAGCATTAGCATCATCTCCTGGCATCTCAATCTGTACCTTTCCTTCTTCTTCTTCTTCTTCTTTTTTTTTTTTCTGTTTCTTTAAGTTGTATGCCAATGCATAGAGATTTCCATTGTGAGACAGAAGGGATGGTACAGGAGTGGAAGCCCAGCCACCCACTCACCACGGACACACTGTTAATAAAGAAATAACGAAACGCAGGCACTGGAATTAACAGAATACTGGGGACAGAAACAGCAGAGAAAAATTACATTTTCTTCTTTCTTTTCAAACTGATGCAACACCCCTCAGCCCAGTTTTCCAGCACTGATTCCCAGAACTGTATGATCTAGGGAGAAGTGGGAAGGAGCATATACACACATAAACGCATCTTATTACTCTTGAGTTGTACCTATTTTGCTCCATGTTTCTTGTACATTCTTACCCTTTGGTTTCTCAAGACCTTGAGGTCTCAACACAAAGATAGTGGGTATACCTAAAGGCCTGTGTATGTAGAGCTCTTGTCCTGTTAACTTCCTTCTGTAATTATTCTTCATATAGAAACATAAATACACAACGCACGAAAATGGCAGTCCAGAATATATCCTCCTTGCAGCCATAATGAGTTTGTGTGTCTCAAATGGCGGACGAAAAATTAATTACTATAATCGCAATTCAAGTTATTTTTTGTGACAGGTCTGACACGATAAAAACATACAATTATGTGTTAATGTTACTTCCCTGGAGTGGTTTGTTTACAGAGCTTGACATCGCGGAATCTTTTGTCACTTATATTAGTGCAAAAAATGCAACACTCAAACATGGTTCTGCAGAAGTGCATATTTGGATTTTTGGACAAAATTACATTTTTGTAAAGAGAAAGCCTGAATTTTTTTACATACTTAGTCTCCATCAATAAAGTGTTGCCATACAGAATGGTACTTCATTTAGTTTCAAATTCTCAAATGAGTTTGGCAAGAGAAGGGAAAAATTGTGTTCATTTTTAAGAAAACAAAGAAAACTGTAACTGCAAAACAGAACATTGCCGAGCATGGGAGGTCCTTGCTTCATACCTGTTTTCTACTTCATATGCTTCCGTTGTTTGTGAGAAGCAATCCTTGAGATGGCAATTATTTTTTTCTAGCTAGCCTTGTGAGACTGTAAAACTGCTGCAAAAAATATGTTTATTGCAAAGCTTTCAGGAAGCCTCTATTTAATCAGGTCTTATAATTACCTTCTAGATCAGATTATAATTCGAGAAATTTTTAATATTAAGTTTTTTAAAACACATTTTCTTTTGTTTTCACAGAGAACTTGTCAAAGCCAACATGTAATCTTAAAGGAAAGAAGGGGCAGGAGTGGGGAGGGAGAATAAGGCCTCCATGTGTATGGCTGTATCTCTTCTCTGCACTTTAGGCAAAGGTGCATTTAAGCACTCTGCAAGAGTCTGATTTTTCCGCTACGCTCTTGTAAAATCTTTGAAATCTTTCTTTAAGAATGATTTGGTTTACCCAAGTCCCTTATTTTTTATACAATCCTTTTCACTCTTCCGAACAAGAGATTCATCGTAACATAATGACTCATCTAACTCGGTGCATCTCTAGCATCTGCTGCTTTTCTCTCTGCTCTGCTAATTGTCTTTACATGTAGTACATGG